TAAGAGCTCGGAGGTGGCTACTGCTAATGGCTTCTCGGATAGCACACGTGGGAAAAACAAGGGTATTGTTTGTTGTAAGGCAGGAACCAGCCAGCATCAACCAAAAGGCAGAAAGCCATGAGTATTACCCAATTATCAAAGGTGTCACCATCAAAGGCTTGATTGTTCCAAACTGGCATTCATCTTTAGATGACATTGGTGTTGCCCCCACTGGCGTTACATGCCCAAACAGCGGAGAAGACTCTGGACCACCAAGTTGTAAGCCATCTCCCCCAGGGTGGACAGCTAGAGCAGGTCAGGAGAACATGCCCCGTGTCTCTGCACCGAGGAGAAGGGCAGCCCTAGCACTTTTTCCAGGTGTGGGCATCTACAACGGTCTTGGAAAAGCTTTTGGGCACCCTCAACCATGGTCCTTGCCAGGACCAAGGTCTCCAGCAACCACCTTTCAGAGCGGTGGAGGCAGGACATCTTCCCACCACACCTTCTGCTGGAGCCTTTACGGACCGCAGCAAAGGCAAAACACCTGCAGAAGAGTTAAAACGCTTTCTTGGGGAACGCAGCCTGCAATTTTCCTTTCTGCCCAATGGGATTCAAATAACCTAATTCTTGCTCTACATTCGTACGGTCTCTCTCTCCCCCGGATCACCCCTGGAGAAATGACAGCCGTGTGGTAAATACATGTAATCACGCCACTCTGATAGCTTCTCTTGTTCTCTGGCCATTAATTCATCTCCCTGGGACTTAGGCGAACATTTCAAATCCTGCAGCAAATTCAAAGGGCTGCCTTTATTTTAAAATCAACACAGCAGTAGAAGGCTTTCTCCTTTCCCTCCTCAAAACGCAAATTTTTTTTTTGAGCTTCAAAAATACCCTGGCACACAGACAGACGTTGCTGGTCGTGACCTTGTCTCAGGCCAGTGACAGGCTCCCTATGCATAGGCAATGGCATGGCTACGGAAATGTCTTGGACAAGGTTTCTTGTCTGCAGGGAGCACCCACCTCAAGCAAAGCCTTTGCCTTCCTACTCACGGCACCGTCAGAAAAACCCGTCAGAAACCTTCCCTTTCCACTCTCAAGGTATGCTTTTCTTGGGAGAAAAAAAAAAAATAAATAGGAGGAAAGAAAATGCAAAAGAGCCCTCCAAAAACAACTACCTTACCATAGAATCATAGAATGGTTTGGGTTGGTGAAAAGAAAATGTAAAAGAGCCCTCCAAAAACAACTACTTTACCATAGAATCATAGAATTGTTTGGGTTGGAAGGGACCTTAAAGATCATCAACTCATCAACTCCCAACCCCCCTGCCCTGGGTAGGGACACCTCCTACCAGACCAGGTTGCTCAAAGTCATAGAATCATAGAATGATTTGGGTTGGAAGGGACCTCAAAGATCATCGAGTTCCAACCCCCCTGCCATGGGCAGGGACACCTCCCACCAGAGCAGGTTGCTCAAGACCCCATCCAGCCTGGCCTTGAACCCCTCCAGGGATGGGGCATCCACAACTTCCCTGGGCAACCTGTTCCAGTGTCTCACCACCCTCATAGTAAAAAATTTCTTCCTGAGATCTAAACTGAATCTTTTTTCTTCCAATTTAAAACCGTTTCCCCTTGTCCTATCATTCAGGTATTGAAAGGCCGCTATAAGGTCTCCCCGGAGCCTTCTCTTCTCCAGGCTGAACAGTCCCAGCTCCCTCAGCCTGTCTTCACAGGAGAGGTGCTCCATCCCTCTGATCATCTTCGTGGCCTCCGCTGGACCTGTTCCAGCCGGTCCATGTCCTTTCTGTGTTGAGGACTCCAAAGCTGGACACAGTATTCCAGGTGGGTCCTTCCTGATGATCGTTATTCCCAGGGAAGCAGAAACATCCTGCAGAGGCTTTCATTGTGCTGGGAACACATTTTGGCTGAGTGCAGCTGAGGACGTCGGTGGAAAGAGCCCTGCAGCTCTGCACCCTGTGGGCCACCGGGCAGGGAGCAGCCAGCTCTCCGGTCAGAGAAATAAAATAAGACACTACTAATTTTTCCAGCCTGCCAGGAAGGAAGAGCGCCAGCAGCAACCTCCGCATGCTCGGCTGTGGAGGCTCCAGCTCAGAGCTGCCAGGGAAGAAAGGCATCAGCTGAACATCAGCTGGTGCCACCGCACCATCGGTGTGGGTGCCTGCACCCAGTTCAGCTCATGTTCTCGTGGTTGCACCACCGAAACCTTCTTCTACCAATGTCCCCAGCCAGATTTTATGCCTTCTTGTTGTCACTGAGCCATCACCTTTCCAGAGCTGGAGGAGAAGGATGTTAAAAGCAGACCTGGAGGAGGAAGGAGCTGCTTTGCTGGAGGACTTGGAGGGAAATCACCATCAACGGGAGGCAGCAGCAGAGTGAAGAAGGTTGGTGGGAAGATGCATTGGCTGGAGCAGAGTTTGGTGCAGGACCTGTGGGCGACACCAGAATTAGGATTCAGCCATGATGATGAGTGGTTCAGGAGATCAGAGTGTCCCACCTGGGAAGACGAGGGAGAAGAAGGGACCTGCAGGACCAAGGGCTGCACCCTGGAGGAGTGGCTGGGGCAGCGGGGAGGAACAAGCTGCTTTGCTGGAGGACATGAAGGGAAATCACCATCGATGGGAGGCAGCAGCAGAGCGAAGAAGGTTGGTGGGAAGATGCATTGGCTGGAGCAGAGTTTGGTGCAGGACCTGTGGGCGACACCAGAATTAGGATTCAGCCATGATGATGAGTGGTTCAGGAGATCAGAGTGTCCCACCTGGGAAGACGAGGGAGAAGAAGGGACCTGCAGGACCAAGGGCTGCACCCTGGAGGAGTGGCTGGGGCAGCGGACTAATTTTTCCAGCCTGCCAGGAAGGAAGAGCGCCAGCAGCAACCTCCACGTGCTCGGCTGTGGAGGCTCCAGCTCAGAGCTGCCAGGGAAGAAAGGCATCAGCTGAACATCAGCTGGTGCCACCGCACCATCGGTGTGGGTGCCTGCACCCAGTTCAGCTCATGTTCTCATGGTTGCACCACCGAAACCACGTTCTACCAATGTCCCCAGCCAGATTTTACTCCTCCTTGTTGTCACTGAGCCATCACCTTTCCGGAGCTGGAAAAGAAGGATGTTAAAAGCAGACCTGGAGGAGGAACAAGCTGCTTTGCTGGAGGACATGAAGGGAAATCACCATCGATGGGAGGCAGCAGCAGAGCGAAGAAGGTTGGTGGGAAGATGCATTGGCTGGAGCAGAGTTTGGTGCAGGACCTGTGGGCGACACCAGAATTAGGATTCAGCCATGATGATGAGTGGTTCAGGAGATCAGAGTGTCCCACCTGGGAAGACGAGGGAGAAGAAGGGACCTGCAGGACCAAGGGCTGCATCCTGGAGGAGTGGCTGGGGCAGCGGGGAGGAAAGGGTGCTCCTCGGCGGTGGCATGGGCAGGAGCAGGCAGGGCTGGGTGACAGGTGAGAGGGAGATGCTAAAGGCCAGCGGGCAGATGGCAGAAGTGTGATTAGAAAGTCACTCCAGCCATAAATCTCAGGGACCTGAACCAGAGACGGGCAAGCCCCAGATGGCTTGGAAAGCCTGGCTGGCAGCACCCAGCACCTCTCAGCGTGCATCTGTCCCTCCCTCCTTCTCCTCACCGGGCTTCACCACCTCCAGCGACCTCCTTACAGCCAGAGCAGGGACCCCCAAACCTGAAACCACTTCGATGGAGGAACTGAAGAGCAAAACCAACACCTGGACCCCAATAACAACATTATCCACCCCCAGCACAGGGCTCTCACCCCGTTATTGGGGTCTACATGCAACGTCCCATCACTGACACTCGCCCCCTTGGCAGGGATGCTGCGGGCACCATCCAGGGGGTGAGGGAAGCTGCAGGACCATGCAAAGGTGCACCAGCAAAGCTGGATGGAGGAAGGTCCCCCGCAGCCACGCACGCTATTTCTGGATCTGCTGGGGGCTGGATTTGCAGGCGAGCACGGGGCCGGATCGGCTGTCCGTGCTTTGGAAGGGGCTCAGGAACAGCAAAGGGGGCAGGAGATGGGGAGGGAGCAGGATTTATATAGAGACCCACGGGGAAAACCCGTGTCCGCGGGCAGGAGTAACCCAACACCGGGCAGGAGTACCAGCTCCCGCCTGCAGACCCAGGACACCATCCCCAGCCAGAGGAGACCAGAATTCCCACAATCCTGCCCAAAAAGTGCTCCCCATGCCTGCACAAAGGCACCTTGCCCCTGCCAGGCTCCCAAAACCAGCCACTGCCTCCTGCAAGGCTGCTGGAGAGTTGTGTGTGTGTGTGTCCCCACCACCTCTCTTCAACCCACAGGTGCCATCGGTCCCCCGGGACCCCCCGGCCGGGGCTGGCAGCTCTGGTGGGATGGAGGCCAGGGGTAAAATTAGAAATCATCACCCTGCCAGCCCTTTCTGCCGGGGCCAGCTGAGCCCGCTCGCTAACCCCGCACTGTAACCCTTGTCGTGCCCTATTTTTTGTAGGCTGGGAGAGTTTCTAGAAAGCTGGGGGTTCGCACAGCTTTCCCCTCTCCGTGAGCAATCCCCAGCCCGCAGGCTGATGGGGATTTATTATATAAATATGGGTTTATTATATTTTTGGGGGGGCGGAGGGGTGTTCCTTTGGGAATTGCACGCTGCCATTCCCTTCCAAGCCAAGGGAAATGACCCTCTCCACCATAAATTGGAGCTCCTACCCCCTTTCTTGCCCCATTTCTCCCCACTGTGGTCGCTGCCCACCTCTCCCCCCCTCCTCCCGCCACCCATATTGTTATTATTTATACTCCCAAAGCATCTTTTTCAGTTTTTGCCGGGGGGGAGAGGATGAAGAGAGAAAGCCTTTTAAGGCTTTCTGCCAGCGCCGGGAAGCAAATCCCCCCCCCTGTCCTCCCAGCAAAGGGTGCTGTGGGGGGATTTGAGTGTAGACAAGTGCTTAAAGCTGAAAAGGGCAGAGCGAAATAAACACGGCAGCTCGCGGCAGCGGAGGAGCGGCGCCCTGGCCATATGCTCTGATGGGTACCATGGACTTTAAGGCAGACCCCGGCGAGCTAACGATTAATTTGCTGCTCATCGTCCGCCCCGAGGAGGCAGGGGGCAAGCAGAGAGGGCAGAGGGGGCGGCTGGCGGCCGGCGGCCGAGGCGCAGGTAACGTCCCTCCCGCCGCGGGCACCAGGGAAAGGGAGGGATGCAGCCCCCCCTGAGAGAAGCAGCAGCTCCACAACAGGGTTTGGGTTTCCCCCCCTCCACCCCCCAGCTCTCATTTTTCCTCTTTTTCCTTTGCAGCCATGCTGCAAAACCCCAAATTTCTAACTTTTTTCGGTTGTTTGTTTGGTTTTTTTTCACTAAAAGCCCAGCATGCCTTTGCTGCACGGCTCCCAGGGTGCGGGAGGAGGAGGGGACATGGATCTGAGGACCCTGGGTGCACCTTGCCGTGTCCTACGATGGCCCCGAGATGCCTCCACGGGCTCTCAAAGCTCTGCAAAGGCAAGAGCTGGGCAGTTTCCCCCCCAGACCAGCACCTACTACCACCCAGCGCAGGGGCAAAGCTGTTTTGTTTGAAGCGTGTCTAGGCTTTGTCTCCAAGGATGACTACCCTGAGCCATTTATAGCTACAGTTTGGGACAGTCTCCCTGGCCCGGCTCCTATTCTTCAGGGGATCTTCCAAAAAGCTACGGCAACTGTAAGGGGACCCTCCCTGCAGAAGTAAAAGGAGAAAAGGGAGCATTCTGGCTCTAAAACCTTCGGGAAAAGCTAGATTTTCAACCAACCAGTTCCAGGCTAACAAGGATAGGCAGAAGTTCTGTTCATGCTTCATCTAAGAGGGCATCCAGCACCTACCCAAATACAAGCAAGCCCTAGGGAAGCAACTTAGACATGGACTATGATACTTTCTTCCTCCTGGCATTTTATGCTCTAGCAACAGGGGCTGCAACAAGCTCTGCAGAGGGGACAGGGAAGGTGGCCCGCTAAGGCAGAAGTTCTGTTCATGCTTCATCTAAGAGGGCATCCAGCACCTACCCAAATACAAGCAAGCCCTAGGGAAGCAACTTAGACATGGACTATGATACTTTCTTCCTCCTGGCATTTTATGCTCTAGCAACAGGGGCTGCAACAAGCTCTGCAGAGGGGACAGGGAAGGTGAACCCCAATGGCGCCCAGGTTCAGCTAGAACGATGGGTTACATGAAAGCTTTTGGCCATGAAAGCTTTTTTGCATGGCCTCCAGGCAACGCAGAACCTCACTCCAGGAGGGACACCCTGCCCAAACATCTCACCTTCCTATTTTCACAGGTTTGCAGGACGATGGAAACGGAAACACCAGAACACTGCCACCTTCTCAGGGGAGAGACCTGAACGGTATGTCACCTCCACCCATAAACCAACCGCAGCACACAAAACCCATTTGAAAGCTTTTAGCACCCAGCCATGCCCCTCCAGCAATTTGAGAGCCCCTCTCAAGCAACTTGCTTGAGACAACCCATCCCTTTCCAGCGCTTTGTGGGGCTTGGGTGGAGACATGCCACGGGAAGCATCCCCTCCATGCCCTCCTCTGCCCCATGGCACATTGGGAGCCCATCTGCAGGGGACTCTCCTGCAAGCTGCCATGGAGCTCGGTGCACATTTCAGGTGCACCAAGCTCTTACGTCCCACAGCCAGCTGATGGTGGGGGAAATTCAGTGCCCCGAGTGGCTCGGGTGGTGGATGGAGCTTCCAGAGGTTTCTCCACCACTCACACAGCTTCAGCAGAGGCGTGTGGGAAACCTTTGGGGCTTCAACCCAGCTCTCCACCAGTCCTGTCTTCATCTCCCCCACCCAGAGATTGCTGGGCACAAGGCAGGTGTGATTGCTACCCAGGAACCACCTGGCTGTTCATCTTGAAGGTTCCCCTGCCAGTTCCTCACCCCTCTGCCCTGAAAGCATCCAGAGGGGACCTCTGAGGGGGTTAATCCTGGCTGCAGGATGGTGGTGCAACGGGACAGAGCAGCTCTCAGGGAAGGGAACCCGATCATCCGACTGGGTTTCCCGGCTGTCTAAGCCTGATGTGGTGTCTCACACAGAAAGGCAAAGGACAGGAGGGCAAATCCTTAATTCTCAGGGTGCCAAAGAGCAGATCCTAGTTATTCCAACCAGCAGCTTTGCTTCCATGGACCAAGCAACCACAGTACAAAAAAGCCATGATGATGCTTGATTGCATTCTGACCCAAACCTCTCTAAAACCATCCCTGGAGGGGTTCAAGGCCAGGCTGGATGGGGCTTGGAGCAACCTGGTCTGGTGGGAGGTGTCCCTGCCCAGGGCAGGGGGGTTGGAACTTGATGATCTTTAAGGTTCCTTCCAACCCAAACCAGGGAAGGAATTTTTCACTGAAAGAGTGGTCGGGCATTGGAACAGGCTGCCCAGGGAGGGGGTTGAGTCACCATCCCTGGATGTGTTTAAGGGACGTTTAGATGAGGTACTGAGGGATATGGTGTAGGGGAGGACTATGTAGAGTAGGGTAGATGGTTGGACTTGATGATCCCAAGGGTCTCTTCCAACCTCAATGATTCTATGATTCTATGATTCTACACAAAAGCCATGACTATTCTTGATCACAGCCCTCATCCAAACCTCTCTAAAACCAGCCGGGGCTGGATGGTGCTCACAGACTGTGAGCAAGAGATATTTCATGGCAAGATACAACTTTGGGTTGGGTTTGGTGGTTGTTTTTTTAAGAAAAAAACCCAACCCAGCCTCAGACACAAGATAACAAAAGCCTCCACTCCGGGAAGCAGATAAATATTCAACCCTCTCTTGCTCCCTCGTCACGTTCAAGAGGGTCTGCAACAGGAGCTGCAGAGCACAAGTCAGAGCCTCCACTGTGAGTGAGAGGATGGTATCAGTCATTTCCTACCCCCAGCTAGTGGCAGGAATATTTAGTATGGATACAGGAAACCTTCCCTTGCAGCTCTACCCCAGGCACGATTTGAATCCCCGTGAGGATTACTAAGGAATTCAGAGGCCAGAGGAGCAGGCAGAGCTCTCGCTCCTCTAGCACCGCAGGGGTTAATAAATTCCCCTTTAATCGGCGGTGTTAGCATCTTGGTGAAGCCTCTGACACCTCCCCGCAGCTGGTGTGGCCGCAATATTTACAAACAGTATTAAATAAGCCTCACCCCAACCCCACGGAGGCAAAGAGGCTGCAGCCCCCATGCCACCACCATGAGATCCCCTTGTTCATGGGCCTGATCCTTGTCACCACCATGAGGTACAGCTGGTATCCAGCCTCCAGGATGAGCCAGGAAAATCAGGTTCCTTGCATGGGGTCTCTGGTAGCTGGCAGGACAGCCATCCCATTACACCCTGAAAAAAGAGGGAGAGATGGCCCTGGTCTCCTGGCCAACATCCATCCCACCTCTGGGCAAGGGTGGAGAATCCAGAGCCGGTGGGAGCTCAGGCTTGGTGTCACCTGGCATTTGCTGGCCATCCTGGCTACCTGTCCACACAGCCTGGGGGAGGCAATTCCCTGGGCACAAGAGATGCTCCCCAAACCTCCCTCTACCCGAGGACCCCAGGGCCAGCAGCGCCACTGAGCACAGGAGGGAGAGATGGAGATGGGGATGAGATGCTGAGAACCACACCGTGCTACCTCTGAAGGACCACATCTCCTCCAAGCTCCCCGTGCTGCCCTTCCCTCCCACCCACCTCTCCAACCATCACCTGGTCCAAGCACCCTAACAACCTCCATCCTGAGCATCAGCACCCACTCCAGCCCTTCCCCAGGCTGGAGCATCCCTGTGGAGTGGGGCCAGGGGTCCCTGGACCACCAGCAATTGGGCTTCCAAGCCAGAGAATGGGGGTCGGGCTTCTTGTGTTGTTACTTACTTGGCTGCTGAGCAAAGGCACAGGTTTAATCCACCTCCACGCTGAGCACCTCCACGCTTTTCAAGGTGCTGAGATGTTTTTCTTTGTTACAACCAGGCCGGCGAGTCTCCAGGGGTTCCTCTGAGCAGACCCAAGGCGTTGCTTCGTACTCTAATGAAGGTAAGTGACGACCCGAGGGATAACTGTTTTTTCAGAGCAAGGTTTCAGTGAGATCTCACTCAAGCTTCTTTTGTAATAAAATAACCTCAGAACACCCCAAAGGAGCAAAAACCACCCCATCCTGCCCATTTTGCCATCTTGAGCATGAAGAATTAAAGATCCCAGAGGAGGCTGGAGAGTCCTTTGGGTCTTTCAGCGGGGATGAGCAGTGGTGGGTCCTGGAGCACCTGGGTTCCCACCATCCCCCTGACCACCAGGATAGAGCGTGGATGTAACCAGAAAGCACAATAAGAACGTACTCCTGCCCCTGGCAGATATTCTGGCGCTGATGGAAGGGTGCAAGGGCTGGAAGAAATAATATTGGGAGAAGTTTAGCTTATGACAGCTGGTCACAGAAGTCCTTTTATAGGGTAGATCCTTGGAAGAAACCATCCCTGCACTAGAACAAGGGCAATGCTGGGCCAGGTGCACCCCAAAGCACTCGCTGGCCATGGACCAGTCTGGCCACCAAGAACGAGGAGAAGAGCAAGTGCTTCTTTATGGCAGATGTCTAAATTAGGAATAGTAAAAAAAAAATCCATAAAAACATCAGTAGCCATTTGATACCATTAGATTTTAAAGCAGTGGGCGTAGCACTTTGAAAAATTTCTGTGGAACTATGTTTTTTCTTTTGTTAAACCCCTTTTAAGCTTCCTGGAAAAAAGGCATCCCTCATCATTAAATTTGTATTTTGAAAACAATTTTAATTGATGGGGGAAAACAGAGAAAGTGGCAGTTGGCAAGAAAACGCGCAAAAGCCCAAAGAGAAAAATGATCTTGAGAAATAAAAAAGGACCCCTGAAAATGCATAAATCATAAGGAAATCATTCTGTTTGCACAATCGCCCCTTTGAGAAACAACTTTGTTTTACCTCTGAATTGACAGTGTTTTTTTATAAACACCGACCAGCTCTTGTGCAATCACCACAGAATTGGAGTCAAGCTCTCAGATTTAAAAGGGGGGTTATTTTTACAGGTTTTGCAGTTTTCTTTTGGGGCTTGAAAGGACATGAAACTTTTCTGCATAATCGCAGGAGATGAAAACCTTTTTTTTTTTTTTTTTTTTAAAGTTAAATGCGGAGGAAGAACATCTTTGATGATCGTGCAGATTCCTAGCTAATTAGCTGGTTCCGAGAGCTGGCTTTCAAGGAAAGCCCCAAACGTCACGAGACTCTGGCTAAAGCTGGAGGAGGCAGCCCCGAGGAGCATTAACATCTTGACCTTCAGTCTCCAAATTTACCACTGCCTGGTCCGAGACGGGGAGCCCAGGAGCACGCTGAGGTCCTCCAGGGAACCTCGGTGGTTGTAAAACGTCCTGAAATACTTGTCCAAAAAAAAAAAAAAGAAAAAAAAAAAGCAGTCTCTTTCAAAAAGTTCAGGTAATTCTTAGAATGCCCTCCCTAACTTTTTCCCCCCATACTTTTCTCTCTGAAGATTTAAGCACAAGACCCCCCCCAGGCTTCCACCTGAGGTTGTTGTGGAGCATCACGGCAGGCAGAGCGTGCCTGGACCCCAGCCGGCTCTTCCAGGCAACAGCCTTTGCCAAAGATTTTATTATCGAGAGTCAGACCATTTTCCTAGCTCTGAGCCGTTTTCTCTTTGATTCCAAGAAAAATCAATGAAAGAAATTGATTCTCTGCTTCCCGTATCTCCATCAAGAGCTACTTCATAGGGTGATAAACCCTTTTTTTTAAGCTGCCACATAAGCCTCGCTGAGGACCTCTGCTTTATTTATGCTTTATCACCTGTTAGGCTATAACAGGCTGGCTTTTATATATTTTTTTTAAGAATTACAAATCACGCCAGAGGTGACCAGCAGCTTTCTGACCGTAAGGTTTATCTTAAAGGTGTTTTGTTTTGCCCGGAAAGCCAAGGGCTTCCCCACCCTTGCCATTACCAGAGCTGAAGTTAATAATTGGCTGCAGCGACACCTCAGCAGAAAATCCTGCCCTTCTCCTCCACGTCTGGCTTAGTTTTCCTGTTTTTTAAGGGAGTTTGTCGTCATTTCTTGCAGGAACCCAAGTGACAGTGGAGATTCACCCCAAGAATACCACCCCGCAGATCCTCAAGAAGTTATCCTTTGGGAAAGGTATGGTGGCGTGGTTTGGGCTTGGGCTGCCCACAAAAACCAACAGCAGATGCCCTCTTTTTCCCCTGGCAGAGTGGTGGAGGGGGGGGGAGATGGGGCCACATCCTTCCCTTCGCAGAAGCCAGGAGGGCAAGAAGCCCTCCAGGAGCTGGAGGAGCCAGGACAGGGGTTGTGGTGATTGCACTAACCATGCTGGGCTTGTTGCAGGTTCCCAGAGGAGGCTCAGCCTGAGAGGTCAAGACAACAAAGGTGAGGCTCTGTTCCACCACGGCGCGTGTCTCCAAGCTAGTCCTCATCCAGGAGGTTGCTCCCAAGAGGGGACAGAGCTCCCCTTCTCCCCACGGGGGTTTCAAGGCTCTTGAGAGGATCCCAACCCCTGTGCCTGCTCTCCCTGCCGGGAAGATGCTACTGGACCCCGCCAGCACCTGGGGCTTGAGGAGCAAAGTCCTTCTGCTCCTGGGGCAGGGGAGGGGGGGTCTCCTCCTGGAGGTGTTCAAAAGACGGGTTGACATGGTCTTCAGGAATGTGGTTTAGTGGTGTGTGTAAAAATGTTTGGTTTTGTTGGGGTTTTTTTGTCAGAGTTAGGTTGATGGTTGGACTAGATGATCTTTAAGGTCCCTTCCAACCTAGACAATTCTATGATTCTATAAGGTGGGTGGTGACAGATTGGGGGCCGCAGAAATCCCCTCAGAAATCCCCCAGCTGCTACCGAGCTCTCTGCAGGGTTATCATCTGACAGCTCTGGAGCTCCTTTCTTCCACGCCTGGGGGCTTTGGCCGGGTGGTGGGCAGGGGTTAGATGTCCCCAGCCCTGGGGCTAGAACAGGAGATGTCTGACTGCTGGGGAATGTGGCCTCTGCAGGATGGTGGGGAGGGGACACAGCGCACAGCTTGCTTCACCCCTCCACAGCATATTGACATTAACCTCCCAGTGCAAGGGAAGGAGGGAAGAAAAGCTTCCATTTTAGTTTTTCCCACCCCAGAATGACTTCTTTCTGTTTCTCTTTTTTTTTTTTCTCCTGCCAACAACTGCTCACCTCACCCTCCCTTTCCTCAATTTTCTAGGTTTCCAGAATACCGAAGCCCCACGGCCGCCGGGAGGAAAAGACCTGCACGGTAACTACCAGCTGTCCTTTGGCCCCGTGCTGGTGGGACACAACGTGGGGCAGCCCCAGATAGGAAAGTCCACCAGTTCTAGAAACAGGAGGTTTCACCCTGAAATGCACAGAGAAGGAATTTAATTTCTATTACCGCGAGTAACGTTCAGCTTCCCGACGAAGAGGCAGATGGGGATGGGTTTGGGAATGTCACAGGTGCCCGAGACCTTCCCAAGGCTGGGCACCCAAGGTGGGCTGCTCTTCCAACGGGAATGATGTTCGTTTCAGGGCTACACCGGTTACTGCCGGTCCCACATCCATGGGGGAGCCTAAAAAACACAACCCCAAAACCCCAAAGAACCAAAAAACCATCCCGTTCCCAAAAGGCAAAAAGTCATTTTCAGAGCTGTAGAGAACGGGAACCTTTCAATGCGTAAATATGCTTTATCTCGTAAAAGTCCTGTTTTGGGGGAAAACCAAGCTAAAGGAAGAAGCCTGTTAAAGCAAGCCATGCCGTGTGCCTGCACACTGATTTCTGCAGGGATGCACCTGCATCCCACCTGGCAGGGGTCACCAGGGCCTGGAGCATCTCCCTTACAAGGAGAGGCTGAGGGACTTGGGTCTGTTTAGTCTGGAGAAGAGAAGACTTCTCCAACCACATCCTTGGCTGCATCAAGAGAAGCGTGGCCAGCAGGGTGAGGGAGGTGATTCTGCCCCTCTGCTCTGCTCTGGTGAGACCCCACCTGGAGCTCTGTGTCCAGCTTTGGAGTCCTTAGCACAGGAAGGACATGGACCTGTTGGAACGGGCCACGAGATGGTCAGAGGGATGGTGCACCTTTTCTTATGAAGACAGGCTGAGAGAGCTGGGGGAGATCAGCCTGGAGAAGAGAAGGCTCCAGGGAGACCTTAGAGCAGCCTTCCAATATCTGAAGGGGCTACAGGAGAGCTGGGGAGGGACTCTGGATCAGGGAGTGCTGTGACAGGACAAGGGGTAATGGTTTTAAATTGGAAGAGGGGAGATTGAGATGAGATACCAGAAAGAACTTCTTTGCTGTGAGGGTGGCAGAGCCCTGGCAGAGGCTGCCCAGGGAGGGGGTGGAGTCTCCTTCTCTGGAGACATTCAAACCTGCCTGGACACGTTCCTGTGGGACCTGCTCTGGGTGGCCCTGCTCTGGCAGGGGGTTGGACTGGATGATCTCCAGAGGTCCCTTCCAACCCAAACCATTCTATGATTAGGCTGAGGGGAGATCTGATCAACACCTATAAATACCTCAAGGGTGGGTGTCAGGAGGATGGGGCCAGTCTTTTTTCAGTGGTGCCTAGGGACAGGACAAGAAGAAAGGAGCGCAAACTTGAACATAAGAAGTTCCACCTAAACATGAGGAGGAACTTCTTTGCTGTGAGGGTGGCAGAGCCCTGGCAGAGGCTGCCCAGGGAGGTGGTGGAGTCTCCTTCTCTGGAGACATTCAAACCTGCCTGGACACGTTCCTGTGGGACCTGCTCTGGGTGGCCCTGCTCTGGCAGGGGTTTGGACTGGATGATCTCCAGAGGTCCCTTCCAACCCCATGTGATTCTGTGGGTCACTAGGGCATGGGATGCCCCACAACCTCTCCCTGGGGCAGAGGTTTCCAAGAAGAGCAGGGCTCGCGTTGGCAAAACACCCTTGTAAGTCAGGAAGAGACCTTCTGGCCACCTCCCCAGTGGGCTGGAGCTGGTGACGAAGAGGCCAGAGCCCCGTTTTGGGGAGATGGAGAGGGAGCAGGTGCTGAATAGAGATTTCTGAAGCACCGTGGCTTCTCAGCTAGGACAGGATGCTCTCGCAGCCTCTCCAGCATCCCGCTCCCACCAGTGCTGGTGGAGAAGCATCCCTCTGGCTTGGCAAGGGTCAGGAATGAACCAACCAAAGCCTCTGTGCCCCCAACATGCTTCTCCTCGTCACCTCTCTCCAGGCAAACAGCAGCTCCACGGCACCACTCATTACCTCTCCCAGTGCTTGGGAGTCACGTAGCGGCACTTTCGCTCCGTGATCTCTTTTAAATCCCTTTTTTTTTTTTTTTTTTCCCCAAGAAATAACAATCCTACAGAGAGAACTAGAAGAATCTCTTTAGCCCTGAATGGCTTTGACAGCACGTGACAGGGGGAGAGATTGCTGCAGAGCTCAATTCTCTTCTCACCAGCTTGGAAGCAAAGGGAGGGCTGAGCAGACAGTGGTCCAGGGGAGATGTCCATCCGACCCATCTGTGCACCGAGCTCGAGCTGGATCCCTCAAGGCAGCTCACCGATGAGAGAGAGCAGTGGCAGCTCATTCAGAGGCTGTTAAAAAAAAATTAAAAAATAAGTTATATTAATTAGGGCAAGTTCTTAACCCTTTAGTCACACTTAGTAGAACCTAGAGCCCACAGAGGGGCAAGCGCACCAGCTTCGGTCCAACCAAAATGTAACCTTGAATTCGTGCAGAATCGTGGCCCTCGACCAAGCAAAATAATCATCACTTTCAGCAAAAGCTACTGAAGAAATGTAGCTCTTTGCTGAGTTTTTGTTGGTTTTTTTTTAAATGCCATGTTCTCAGCAGGGTTTCCACAGCACAGATCGCTCCCTGATACCCCTGTGTCGTTATCTCCTGCACCTCCATGTAATATCCCAGGATTTTCTATGCCGTGGGATGGTGCCAAGGGGGCAGGAGCACCTCCCGCTCGGCACTGCCCAAATTACACCAGACTAGACAGGATGGCTCCTGCTTTCCATGCAGCTGGCAGGGACCCTCTGCAAGTGCCCTGGTGTCCTCTGCTCCCTGAGCACCCGCTGATGGATGCCCCAGGAGTATTGTCCCCTCCTTCAAGCCTACAGCCAGGAAAAACACACACTCCCCCCTCCTTTCCCCAGACAATGACAACTCCTTTCTTCCCCACCACCACCCCCACACTTCCCCAGACAATGACAACTCCTTTCTTCCCAGCATATCCATGGGACAAATCCTCTTTGAAATCCATGCCGGTGGATCTGCAGCAATTTGAGAAGCTGGATGCCTACGCATTAAAAGTAAGTCTTGCTTTTTGCCTCTGTCCTCCTCTCAGCTCCCCCACAGGGATGTTCCTTGAAACCCAGCTACCAGCACTAACACCAGCTTAGTCTGAGCTACTGGGACAAATGCTTCAAAATCCCCCAAACTAGTGAAAAACCATTTCCCTGCGAATGCCAGCAACAGAGATCCCACTCTAGGAGGGGAAACTATGACCAAAAATCCTTGATGGACACATGGATCTAAGCCAAAGTTAGAACAGTATCCTGGCAGGTGGGGTCTCACCAGCTTTAGAAGAACAAGGGAGCGGGGAGTGAGAGAGATCGACCATAGCAATTTCTTCACCGTGATCTTGCAACGCTTCCTCCTTCTCCTCCCAAACAGGTAAATGTCAAGAACAGCGTAGAGGACCTCGTTAAAGCCCTGCTTCAACAAGCCCGGACCGATCTGGAGAAAGTCCGAGCCATATGGATGTGGATATGCCACCACATAGGTAGGTTGAGAACCTCGGTTGAGAAGACAAGGCTCTTGCTGTCACCCTGCCATTGAGGTTTACTCTACATCTCCTGGGGTAGTTTCATGTGGTAGGCGGGAGGAAGGCTTTTTGGGTTCATTTAGCCAGAAACTTATTCAGAGGTTGTCTCAGCACCTCTGTTTCCACACTGCCCCTCCCAGCACTGCCGTACACTACAAGGTCTGTGTAAATGATTTCTTTCCATAACCTTATTTGAAGGTGTAACCACACAAGATCCTATCATGATGAGGGGACTAGAACATCTCTCTGATGAGGAAAGGCTGAGGGACTAAAAAGTCTTTTTAGTTTGGAGAAGAGAAGGTTGAGGGGGGACCTGATCAACACCTATAAATACTTCAAGGGAGGGTGTCAGGAGGATGGGGTCTTTTTTCAGTGGTGCCCAGGGACAGGACAAGAGGAAATGGGCACAAACTTGAGCATAAGAAGTTCCACCTCAACATGAGGAGGAACTTCTTTCCTGTGAGGGTGGCAGAGTCCTGGAAGAGGCTGCTCAGAGAGGTGGTGGAGTCTCCTCTGGAGACATTCAAACCCACCTGGACACGTTCCTGTGGGACCTGCTCTGGGTGGCCCTGCTCTGGCAGGGGGTTGGACTGGATTATCTCCAGAAGTCCCTTCCAACCCCATAGCATTCTGTGATCTAAGCTGCCAGAGCATGAAGCCAGGCTGCCAAGCACCAGGGTTGTCACACCCAGAGCCACCCAAAGCCACCACAGGTTCCATCTCCAGCACTGTCCTGAATCCCTGGCACCCCACCCCAGCACTCCCTACACTCTGGTGCCTTTGTTCTGGGAGGGTCTCAGCACAGCGTAGGTCCCACCAGGAACCATCAAGCTACCCCGGTGCCATCACAGCTGCTTCTGCAGCTCTTCTGCTCTCCCTCCTTGGGCAGCAGACCGGCCCTCACCAGGAGCAGCCTGGACCCAGCCAGTCCCAGGTGAGGTGTCCTCAGACAGTCTCTGGGCTGTTTTCATGGCCAGCTTGTCTCTAGCTGGTACCTAATCACAGAATCTTCTAGGTTGGAAGGGACCTTAAAGATCATCTTGTCCAACCATCAACCTAACTGACAAAAATAGAGTTCCATCTCCAGCACTGTCCTGAATCCCTGGCACCCCACCCCAGCACTCCCTACACTCTGGTGCCTTTGTTCTGGGAGGGTCTCAGCACAGCGTAGGTCCCACCAGGAACCATCAAGCTACCCCGGTGCCATCACAGCTGCTTCTGCAGCTCTTCTGCTCTCCCTCCTTGGGCAGCAGACCGGCCCTCACCAGGAGCAGCTTGGACCCAGTCAGTCCCAGGTGAGGTGTCCTCAGACAGTCTCTGGGCTGTTTTCATGGCCAGCTTTGCCCCTGGTTATTGTGGATACATCCCATGCTCCCATCTCTAGCTTAATTGCCTCCATTCTATTGGCACGTCCATCAGCCCATGTCAGCAGCTCATCAGAAAAGCCACAAAAGGTGCTGGCGTCCACTGGACCACAGTTCCTGCCTCTATGTTATCTCTAGCTGGTACCTAATTGCCTTCATCCTATTGGCACGTCCATCAGCCCACGTCAGCAGCTCATCAGAGAAGCCACAAAAGGTGCTGGCATCCACTGGACCACAGTTCCTGCCTCTATGTTCACCCTTTCAGCCTCTTTGGGAGATGCAATCACTGTTTCCCTATCCCCTTCCCACCCAACCCCAGCGTTCCAGAAATAACCCAGAGATGCCAAGAGGACAGGGAAGGAGGAGCGTTTGTAGCATCACAGGGGGGAAAAAGTCTTCTTGCCACCCCAAACTCCTCACTGTGTGGGGGAAAAGGGACATGCAACCTGACTGTGTTTTGCATAGCATATGCAGAAACGCTTCTTTCCCGTTAACTCTTGGGGGCAGAGGTGGAGAAGGGGCAGCTATTCCTGCCCTCCCCTCCCTGCTGGTGGAACTGGGGGGGCTGGTGGGGAGGAGAAGAGCAGCAATTTGGGAACCTAAGATGTCCTAAGCTCACGCCCACTGAGATTGGGAGAGCTTTGCCAGCAATTCCTCGGACAGCAGGGCCAGGGCCACCCCAGGCAGCTTTAATCTTGCCCTTAAATACACAGACTGCTGATTTTGATGCATTTCCTTTTGGCTCATCCCAGCCCTGATGGTTCCATTCAGTCCTTACACTATTAACCCATTCCTGCCTGACACTGCCCACATCCTGCTGGGGACGGCGGGTCTGGTGTGGGTCTGCCCATTTACCTTCCATCCATGGGATGTCTCTGGTCCCCGGCAGGCAGGCTGTGACATCCTCATAAGATTTAATATTTTTTCTTCCCCCCACCACCACCTTGGCCTCGGTTCTCCTTTCCTCCTGCAGAGACTGACCCCTATTTGCATGCGTGGGAAATAAACACAGCGTTAGGAATTTAAATCGGTTGACACAAGGAAAAAAAATGCAGTGTATCTATCCTGGAAGAGCAACGATGATATAAACTCCTTCCCTGTTGGGATTTTTAAGTGGGAATGCCACTCCCCAGGTATCTCTGACCTCCCACTTCGACTCCCTGCCTGTGGTGGGCTCCTACCTCTACTGAAAGAAATCGTTCTAGCCATCATTTCTAGCATAAACGCGGAGCCACCTGCAGCCAGATGGTCCCCCCTACCCCTCAAGATGCCCTGAACCACCCTGGGGGGGGGGGGGAAGCCAGCCTTTCCCCCCCCCCCCCCCGGGGAAAAAAAAAACCCCTCCAACCTTTCCCCACATCCTGCTGGGGACGGCGGGTCTGGTGTGGGTCTGCCCATTTACCTTCCATCCATGGGATGTCTCTGGTCCCCGGCAGGCAGGCTGTGACATCCTCATAAGATTTAATATTTTTTCTTCCCCCCACCACCACCTTGGCCTCGGTTCTCCTTTCCTCCTGCAGAGACTGACCCCTATTTGCATGCGTGGGAAATAAACACAGCGTTAGGAATTTAAATCGGTTGACACAAGGAAAAAAAATGCAGTGTATCTATCCTGGAAGAGCACTGATGATATAAACTCCTTCCCTGTTGGGATTTTTAAGTGGGAACGCCGCTCCCTGGGTACCTCTGACCCCCCACTTCGACTCCCTGCCTGTGATGGGCTCCTACCTCTACTGAAAGAATTCGTTCTAGCCATCATTTCTAGCATAAACGCAGAGCCACCTGCAGCCAGATGGTCCCCCCTACCCCTCAAGATGCCCTGAACCACCCTGGGGGGGGGGGGGAAGCCAGCCTTTCCCTGCCACCCCCCCGGGTAAAAGACAAGCTGCTGCAGCATTTCATCAAAGCACAAATACAGCGTCTTGCCAGCTTTTTCCATCCCCCTCCTCCCTGTTTCCCAGCATTAAAGGCAGGATGGATCGGCTGACGCAGCATTCCTTACAGCTTGGTCAGAAAAAAAATCCCTTCGTGTCTCCAGGAGGAGGTTCTGGGCATCACCAGGGTTGGTCAGTATCGGATTAACCTTCTCAGACCAGCTCCTCTCCCTCTGCCTGAAGGGACCCTGCCGTGCTGCTTCCCTGCCTTCGTTCAAACCAATTAAGATTTCCTGTGCTCCCCAGCATTAATCTGACTCCCTTGCAACAAATCCTTTCAGGTATTTCCCAATGAGCTACTTTCCAGGGGTTTTTTTAATACAAATTGCTGGTAAAGACTGCAAAAAGCTGAAGGATTCCCTTTGACAGTGACACGAGTCCAACCCCTTTCAATGCAGAGAGCTCTGCTTTTCACCAGGAGCTCCTGAGATCGCAGACCCCACCACCATCACCACCAAGAAGGCAGCCCCAGGAGAGACCCCACTTTCTCTAAAAAGGCAGATATTTTTCCTCCTCACGTTTCAATTCGACTGCAGAATTCCAGCCCAGGCTTGGAGCAAAGGGTGATGAGGGACAAACCTTGTCCCTCTGCCCCCACCAGCTGTCCACGACGTCCCCGTGCAGCTCACGCCATGGCTCGTTTCTCTTTGCTGGTGCTCACGGGGATGGTGCTCCCCAGGACAGGTTGGGGGTGACCTGCTGGATGACATCCCCATGCAGCTCACGCCGCAGCTCGTTTCTCTTTGCTGGTGCTCACAGGGATGGTGCTCACCAGGACAGGTTGGGGCTAACCTACTGGAAAGCAGCTCTGAGGAGAAAGACCTGGGAGTCCTGGTGGACAACAGGATGCCCAGGAGCCAGCAATGGGCCCTGGTAACCAAGAAGGCCAATGGTCTCCTGGGGGCCATCAGGAAGAGTGTGACCAGCAGGTGGGGATTTTTAAGTGGGTCATCCTGCCCCTCTGCTCTGCCCTGGGGAGGCCCCACCTGGAGCACTGGGTCCAGTTCTGGATGAGGAGGAGCCTGGAGCACCTCTCTTACAAGGAAAGGCTGAGGGACTTGGGTCTTTTTAGTCTGGAGAAGAGAAGACTGAGGGGGGATCTGATCAACACCTATACATACTTCAAGGGTGGGTGTCAGGAGGATGGGGCTGGTCTTTTTTCAGTGGTGCCCAGGGACAGGACAAGAGGAAATGGGCACAAACTTGAACATAAGAAGTTCCACCTAAACATGAGGAGAAACTTCTTTCTTATGAGGGTGGCAGAGCCCTGGAAGAGGCTGCCCAGGGAGGTGGTGGAGTCTCCTTCTCTGGAGACATTCAAACCCCACCTAGACACGTTCCTGTGGGACCTGCTCTGGGTGGCCCTTCTCTGGCAGGGGGTTGGACTAGATGGTCCCTTCCAACCCCATAGCATTCTGTGATTGGAAGCAACCCAAGCCTAGCTCCTGCCACCCATCCATCCGGTGGCCTCAGGCTTTTGGATGAACTTTCCTCTGCCTTCCTTCCCACAGAATACGACATCGTGGGCTACCATGACAAAAGCCAGCTGTCGAGCAAGCCCCTAGACGTGCTTCAGACGGGGAAGAGCATTTGTGAGGGATACGCTGGGCTCTTTGAACAAATGTGCAGGTAAATGAAGCTCAGAAACGTTCAGTGCCAGGGAGAGTTAACATTCCTTGTCATCTCTGTGCCTCGCCTTTGCCTTGACTGATGTGACTTTATGCAGGACACAGAACTTTAGCTTTCAAGCCATGCTGTGGAAAAACAGCAAGTCCTAGAAAGGTCAATTCTGCTTCCTCCTCCGCCCTCCAACCCCCCACCCCCCCCAGCATAATTTACTTTGTGCCATCTGCTGAGCTTCGCATTGCATTAACATAATGGCAGATGAAAACACAGAGCTAATTTGGTTAGAAGAGGCCAGGTTTTTTCCTTTGAGTATCTGCATGTGAAGGTTAAAAGCATGGCAAGACTTGAAGAAGGAAGAGCGTGGTCTTCAACACGCTCCCCACGCAAGAGGTAGGCACCGTCCCAGAAGGAGCTTTCCCAAAACCTTTTGGAGATGCCTTTTCCCCTCCACTATGGAATTACCACAGGGTAATTCTCAATGGTCACCACACACAGCGGTCAGTCCTGAGGCCAACGCTGTAGTTCCCATTTTATAGATCCATCGGCATTTAATAACTCAAATCCATCCTTTGCCTACAAAACCTCGTTGACTTCAACAGGGAGCACAGGCAGCACAAACCCCTTCTCCTTCCCACCCAGTAAAGGAGAGACACAAGAAGCAATAGGTTGGTTTAGAGGAGTAGTGAAGGCAATGAAGGTGCTTGGTAAGTTTGGGACCAGCCTTGCGTTGAAGGGTGGTCCAAGAGGAGTCAAAGTGGACCTGATGACTCCAGGACAGAAAGTTGGAAGGGGCTTCCTAACACCAGAAAGCCACGATGTGTGGCTTGCACAGTGGCTCTCCCAAGAACCTTCTCAGCACAACATAGCTACGGAAATTAAAAAAATTAAAGGCCAGTTATTAATTGCCACATGTAAGTAACAACTGGCTTTCCACACCATGCAATAAGATTTGGGGAGGTTTTTGCCACGGAACAAATAAAATCTACAGGCAAAAGGGCAGATTTCTTTAAAAAAATACTACTACTACTGTGCCAGATGCTAATGTGGAGCACGCTTCCAACCAACAACGTACCCCACGATATCTGATCTCGCTTTCTAAAGAGTAAAACACAGAAATAGGATGATGAAGTATGAATTTATAACGGCGTCTTATGGAACAGTTATTAGCAGTTAGAAGTGGGGGAAATTTGCATCTGTTCATTAAAAAGCATATGTTTAGTTCATTAAAACATTAATCTTTCCAAGGATATCTTTTACTATTTAAAGGCTCTGTTGATTTACTCTTAATTCCACAGTTCCAGGTTGATTATTCATTTTGCGATTCGGGAAGCCTCCCAGTCATCCAGCCTATTACCTTTGTCTGCTCCTTTCCTGAAAAACTATAACCAAAGACACCTCTTTCTTTTAAGGGGATCTCCCCATCCCTTCTTCTTGTGCACTGTTCAAGTCTTATGCTGAGTCTAAACATAAAGGCAAGAGGCAAAGAGCCGTCTCCTTATATAAAGCTTTTCCAGAGCCAAGTTTCAGGGGGGGGAAAAAAGGTCTTTTAACATTCCTTTTATTCCTAGCACCCGTTGAGGCAACTTTAACAACCAACCCAATTTGCCAGTCACCAGGATTCGCCCCCAAAGGTCCCGCTGAAGTCAATGGCTGACAGTGATTGAGTCCTACTTGTCCCAGTGCCAGCAGAGAGGAGACACATTGCTGCCAGCTCCGAGCACAGCTCTGGCAGCCAGAATTTCTCCCATTATCCGAGACCCCCCTCACAGAGAAAAGGTGGGCACTCACAGGGAGAAGCTGGCCACAAAACATCAGTTTCCAAACACCGGGTGTTAAGAGCAATGAACGTAAAGACAGGCTGCTGACTGATCTTTTAGCAGCCTCTCTCAAGAGTTGGCTTCTCAACCAGATTCAGGAGTTCAATTTAGGGCAAAACCCAACAGTCTGGACTCGGGAAGGAACTCCCTTCCCAGAACTAATGATGAAGGCAAAACTATTTGCACTTGAGAGGCGTCAGCATCACCTTTGGGTGCAAAGCTGACCACAGTCCCCACAGTGGATCTGACCACTTACCTGCTCTTTATTCATAATTAGTCTGCAAATAATCCAGGTTTCACATCCTCTTGCTTTTCCTGTTTTCTACAGCCGGTAGCTTTCCTCCTTTTCAGGGAAAGGAGTGTACACCTACCCACCACAAGCATAAAGCATTCTGTCTCCCTCTGGAGAAGCCAGATTTGCTTCCTTTTTAGATGAAAGCATCAAAGTCAACCTGAAATCAAAGGGAAGAAGGTGCCATTGAATTGCAGCGACACTTGTAGCTAGATCCAGATTATTTCCTGCTCTTTTGGAAGCAGAACGGCAACTTAGCTTTCAACCTCCTTGCTGCATCGGGCAGATTTTGCCAACTGTTTCTTAATTCAGTTCTTCCAGTCCACCTTGCAGTTAGGTCCTCTTCTACCATCACATTGCTACTTTGAGTATTTCTGGAGATTTTCTCAATCTCCTCTCTGCCTGGTTAATTTATCTGTATAAAGTCATTGATCGCTCTTTTCAACAATACAGGATCGCTCTCTTACAAGATGGCTTTTCATCTGTCCGTTTTTAGAAAGACCACCCTTTGAATGTTCTGATCTTTCTCCTAGCAACTTTGAATACGTCCAGGCACAAACTCTTCTCCTTGCTCTGCTAAGGTTCGCCGTAAGCGAGACCACAGAGAAAACGAAGGGCGGAACGTGTCCCTTAACGTTCCCCACGAATATCCCAGCTAACAAGAATGTCTGGAGAAGCCCAGAAGGATTAGGCACCGATCCCCATGAAATTAGTTGGGAATTTGGTACTTAGCTCCTGGTAGGCCCCTCTGAAACTCCCGGGATCAAATATTCCTGAAAGTTCCTGGGCCAGCTCCTGGTCTCAGTTACATCATGTAAATCCAAGCCAGTCTTGTCGGTGGAGTCGCTCCAGATTTACTGCCCGGCTCCACGTTAGCATTTTGGCTCGCAGGCGACTGCGGGCTGGCAAAGGCTTTGCAGACCACCTGCGACACCCAGGTTTCTCAATGGCATTCCTTCCAGTCTTGCCATGGTCACCCAGAATACCTCATGTGACAGGCAGCGCCTCGTAACGGCCCACGCTAAACCAGGGCTGGCTTGGACTGCTCCCTTCTCCTCTCAGCAGGTCCTCTCTCGCAGGATGGGGCTTGGACTGCTCCCTTCTCCTCTCAGCAGGTCCTCTCTTGCAGGATGGGGTGCTGCCATCTTCCTCCTCGCCCTACAACTCGGTCTTCTCCCTGCAGGTTACCCAACGGGAGCTCCCAGCTGGCTCTCAACCAGCCCTCTGCGGTCGCCATTCTATTTTCTTAAAGAATTTAAGGAAGAAATAAGTAATCTCATTTGATACTCTTAAAAGAAAGAGGACCAAATAACTGCGTAACGCAACGAGAAGTCTTCCATGAGAAGCTGAAGCGACCACCTCCCCCTTTAAACCAGCTCCATCTCCATTTTTGCCATCTCCCTCCGAGCACTACTGCGCTGCCAATTACCAGCCGGGATCCATTATCAGACCTCGACTTCTTAACAACCATGCTAATTACCTTCCCCATAAATATCACTTCTCTTCTGAGTTAAGCCCACATTATGCAGACAATCTTGCTCTCGAAGCATGCACAGTTTATTACTTTCAGGTACCTGCTCCATCTAATGCACTTTTCAATGAGGAGGAAAAAATGTCAATACCATCCTACACAAAAGACAATCCTCTAAGTGAAGCAATTTTAGATTAATGCTGAAATAAGATGCCAATGTTAGAATCCATCGCTATCAACAGTGGAGAGCTTATTAACACAGCGCCTAATTAAATCTTATTTACACATCAACACAGGTATTCATTATTTTTTTATAGAGAGACTAATCATTTGTACCCTGGACAAGCACAGGCTCACTCTTTAAGGAAACTAAATCAGCATCCACAATCCCGTGAGGTCTAAGATGTCTTAGTTGGTGTCAAACACCGGGCCTACCATCACAGAGGGAGCACAAGCATGAACAGACGCACTTTTAATTTATAATTACATGGGCTAATTGTGGACAGCATCAAAGGGATTCTGCTGAGTAACAAGACAGAGAGCAATTAAGCACACTTCGTCTTTGTCACCCTCCTCTAATGATGCTGAATTGATGGTGCATCAGGCAAAAAGAGAGGGAATATAAAAAAAATCTGGAAGAGAGAAGCCCCTTCCTCCGGTGGGACGCTCTCTCCGAGGAGGCACCTTGACAGAGCTGGTCCACAGGACTGAAGTTCTGCAGACGTGCTGGACTTCACTCATCCTTTTTTTTTTTTCTTTTCCTTCCACAAAAGCACACAGACAGGTTTAAAAGAGAAGTCTCCTGCTCCATCCTGTTGTTTCCTTTCAGCATTGCAGGAATCCAGTGCATGAAGCTATCGGGATACTCTAAGGGGTACAACTACGAGATGGGGCAGAGCTTCACGGGGGACTCCGACCATGCCTGGAACGCTGTTTTCCTTGACGGAAGGTGGCACTTACTTGATAGCACCTGGGGAAGTGGTTCTGTTGATAAGTCTTGCACCAAGTTCACCTTCAGGTAAAGAAACCATCCTCTGTGTTAAGACATAAACCTACCCCAAAGGTAGAAGGAAGCTGATGGGTGCGATAAGAATCACCAGTGACAAATTTTAGGTCCCCAAGCCCTGAGCAAGGTATTTGGGCTGCTCATACGAGGAATGGGGCATGTACCTGTAGAAAGGCAGCAGCCCTGAGCACCAGCCTTTAGCCTAACTGCTAAAAGTCAACTTGTTTTGCTTCTGACATCTCCAATTTATGCAGTACCGCGTGATGCTGGATTCACAGCTTTCAGCTGCCTGAGAGGTGGTGCCTCCGTCATCAGGAGCCTACGGCTGCAGGGGATAGTGCAGTTACCCCAGTTTGAAAAAATACCTCTATAAGGGTATTTATTAGCTGAGCGTTTGCCCTGGAAATGGAAGACCAAAAAGCTCAGGTTCCTTCTCTGCCTGGAGAATTTAAAACTCACCGCCCTGGGTTTCTCAGCAGCCCAAAACACCCTGACTCCCTCCTGCTGAACCCACTACCACCGCGCAGGGTAAGAATTAACTATTTATAATTATTCGTTTTCCTTTAATCCCTTCCTTTTTCTTCTTCCAGGTACAACGAGTTCTATTTTCTCACTCACCCGGCTCTGTTCATTAACAGCCACTTCCCAGATAACAGTAACTGGCAGCTCCTTAAACCCACCCTGACGCTGAAGGATTTTGAGAACAACATGCTGCATAAAAGCAATTTCTACACCTTGGGGCTGCTGACCACGGAGCCGGAGACAACTGTCATCCAAACAGGTAACACCACACCGAGGGGAAGCTGCAGAGCATCCTTCCTCACGCAGCCCCGCATCCCCCGCACGCGTGCACCGAATTACACTGCCAGCTTGGTTCTGGCAAGCAGAGCACGCTCAAAGCTCTTGGGGCAGAGGAGGGTCTTTTTTTTCCCCTCCTTTCTCCTTTTTTTTCCTTTCTTTTTGTTTGTTCAAGCTGTGAGAAAAATCGTTGTAGCCCCCGGGGTCTAAAAGAAAGCCTCAGTCAGCGGCTGAGGATGAGCTGCTCTATCAGCCAGCATCCGCGGGGCAAAATTAGAAGTACCACTATTATTTATTAGCAGCTCTGGCTTGAAAATGAGATTCCAAGAGTTTGACTTACTGGATGATGGATAAACAGGCCCTTAATCGCCGCGATTAAATCCAGTGGCTCTTTTAACACAAAAGTGTTGCAGTAGCACCACCGAACTACGGGGCCCACATTTAGGATCCCCTTCCTCAGGTTTCAGAAGAGCTGCAGGAATCCAACTGGAAAGCTAATTTATGAACGCTAAGGGCACAGAGTTTAAAACTTAGAGGCAACGAGAATTTGAGACTTAACGTTGCCCTCAAGCTGTTTGGGAACAGGCTCGTAGGGAGGTCAATTATCTCCTATCGACGTACTGGAGGGTTCCTGCACTTTTCTCTGAAGCTTCTTGGAACAGCTACTGGACTAGCAATCAGGTCTAATCACATCTAATTAACCCCCCCCTTGAGCACACAGGCTGACAGTACTTTCAGTTGTATTTCACTCAGGCTTTCATATTCTATAGGAAGACAGCTCCATTTCAGTGTATACCAAAATAGGACAAATGCACGCCTCCAAAACAAAGGCCACGCTTCACCTCGTTCTTTTTGAGGGACACTGGTCCAAGCAGGCAGCTGACAAGCTGTGACCTCCCAATTGCAGCTCTTTATTTCACTATTAGAGAAGCAGCAATTTATTGGGATGGATTAGTCTTCCCAGAACAGGGTGTACAGGCGAAAAATAAACCCAGACTCCGATGCGGTTTCTTTTCTTTTGTATTTCATAGAAAATGGAAAAGCCTGTGTATCGGTGGATTGCCGTGCTGCCACGTTATTTAAGTTTGAGCTGGAGGGAACAGAACACGGCTTAATGACTTTGAAAAAACACGGGATGAAGCTGGATATCTACCCCCAGAAGACAGGGAGTCACAAGCTGCAGATCTTCGCCAAGCCCTACAAAGCCTCCCAAGATGTCTACGAATGCGTGTTGGAATACGTGGTCGAGTGCGAGTCCGTGAACAAGGCCATGTCTTTGCCAAAGGACCTGAGCCAGCCCCTTGGACCAAGCTGGTTCACAGAGCGGCAAGGGTTCCTGAGGCCCTCACACCTCGACCCCATCATTCACACCAACGACGGGAGGTGTTCTCTCACCTTCACCCTGGGCAAGGACATCAGTGTCCTAGCCCTGCTGCACCACAGCAGCCTGAGCGAGGACATGAGAAACAGACACATCATGCAAATCCGTCGCGGGAACCAAATTGAGCTGAAGATCCACCTCCCCCACGCGGGGAACTTTGTCCTGAAAATCTACGCCAAGAAGAAGTCCGATCCTGGCAACTACGACTACATCTTCAACTACCTCATCACCTGCCTCAACACCGAAGTGAAGTGGCCGACCTTCCCCCAGGTTTACAAGAACTGGGCGGAAGACTATGAGATACTGGAGCCGCTCTCCGGCCGGCTGCCGGCCAATCGCAACGTCCAGTTCAAACTCAAGATGCACGGGATAGGAAAGGTGCTGGTTCAAGGTGACGACGTCTCCACGCTCACCCGGAGCGGGGACTACTGGGAGGGAACCTGCAACACAGCGGGATGCAGGGAAGTGTCCGTGATGGTGCAGGAGAACGCGAACCACAACTTCTACTCACAGGTCCTGAAGTACGAAGTTGAGTCCCAGTAACAACCCCCCTCTTTGCTCTTTCACTCACCTGCATCAACCAACCTTTCCGACGTGCCCAAAGCCAACACAACTTCAGGATGGCTCATTCTTCTTGATCAAATCTCTTCTTTCAACGAATCCAGGCTTTTGCAAGACCAAGGGCTCAAAGAAGTTCAAAGCAGCAGAAAATCCTGTTATGAAAGGAGCAGCAGTGGAAGAAATTAAGTAAACCCTCACCCACGTTTCAGTAGCACTGCCCAGACAAACATTTTGAAGAAAACAACTGACTTGTCTGGCCAGAGGTCATCCAGCATCAGCAGTGATCGCTGGGTTCCAAGTTATGGAGCATAAGGAAAGTCTTACGACGGCTACTCCGAGAAGAATCCAGCTAGTTATGGGGCAGGATGCAGAGAGCACACCCTGGTTTTGAGCAGCAATATTGGACACGAGGAGCTTCAGGATATTTAAACCAAATTTCTGTCTATCTTCAGTCAAGTTCCAAAAACCCATCCCAGGAGAGAGAAGAATTAGGAAGAAGATACAACATGTTTTCTCATTTTTTCACAAGTTTTCTCGTGCACTTCATTGTCTTACAAATTTAAGTTGATACTGCAAAATGATTTTTTTACACTATCTCTTTAATGTAACCAGAAAAAAAAAAATCATTTTTACCTTTTTATATTTTAATTAAATTTGACTTGTAAGCACTTTTTTTGCAATATTAGCTCCGTAATTGTATCTGAAGCATATAGGTGCTTCCATAACTACAACTACAGTAAAACGCAGAATAAAGTTCTCAAAAAAAAAAAATAAATCACTCCTTACTCCAACTTGTCTGTGGAATGCTGCAACTAAAGAACTGGAGGGGTTAGGTGGAACAGCAGGCTGAGTGACATTATTACCATGTAAAAACTCCATTATTTGGTGCTGTACTCTTGGAAAGCCCCGACATGCACAAGGCAAAGGGGGCCTTCTAGTGAATCTCACAATTACACGTCGTAAGATTGAGCCATGTTTTCACAACCGATTCAGATGTCCGTAAGTGTTAGCGTGACACGAGAGATATGACTATGTTTGAGCTTGAATTTAAAATAAACCTGTTATGTTTTTGCATTCTGTTTCGTTGACAAACAGTATGAACTCCTCTTTGCAAGGCTGCTGTGTTGTTCCTACACTCCTCTCCTCCTCAGCGACCCGGGGGGGAGAAGTTATAGTCGATGGCACAGCACTGCCCATCCCTGCCTCTCATTCATCCAGCATTACTCCTTCCATCCCAGCAACCAGGGTTAAATCCCCACTGAAAGCAAGTTGGGTGAGCGTGGGGGGCACCTGGAGCTGGAGTCAAGTAGCAGAACCTTCAGTTGAGGACACAAGTTGAACACAACGTGTGAGCTACCAAAGCTTCCTCCATACATGACATAAAAGTAGGTTTTAAGTTCTCCTCCTCCAATCTAGTGTCTTTTCCCCTCAAAAACTGGTGGCAGCAGCTCCTCTCTGCAGGAAGACTAACCAAAGCCTTGTAGCCCAGCAGGATTGCCTGGATGGCAACAGTGGGGATGCAAGAAAAGCTCAGTTTTTTGATTGCCTAGGACCTTGAAGGCTAAAGCGAGCCTTGTCTGTAAGCACAGACAGCCCTGGTTTATTTTGGTGCCCAGCAGAACGCTCTTTTTTCTTAGATTCCCCTTTTTCAGGTCAAGGAGGACACATTTCAGCAGCTTTCACGCTACAGGTCAAGCCGATTGAGTCAAATACGTCACTTCTTACAACGGGAGGATAAGGAGGCATCCCAAAGAGCTTAGCAACTAAAGAAAACTACTTTTTCCCCACATAACAAGGTCAAAGATCCCAAACTACACACGTTTTGTACAACGGGATGTTGGCTGAGGCACACACAAACCAGCATGGTGAGAGGACAGCCGAGGGAAAGGCTCCTCGTGCAGGGCTACCCCGGGAGGAACTCAGCTCCTCCTCTCACACTCCCTTTCACAAGGTCTCCCTCCAACCCCACATGCTCTATTTCTGCCTCAAGACAGAATCATTACCCTGGTAGAGGGGGAAAAAAACCATCCCAGGAGAGCAGAGAGGCTGGTTTATACACTATTGCCCCCTGCCCAAGGCTGCCAACCCCAGACACTGCCCTCAAAGACAACAGGCAACACCAATTTAACCCCTTGGAGTAGAGAGTGACCCAAAGCATCCTCACACCCCTGGAGAACACGTGTAGCACGCTGAAGACAGACAGGGCCTGCAACACAGTCCATACAATTTGAAGTACCAATTTCCAGTACCTGAAGGGAGCCTACAGGAAGGCTGGGGAGAACCTGTTTAGAAAGGCCTGCAGTGATAGGACGAGGGGCAATGGCTTCAAGCTGGAGGGGAACAGATTTAGACTGGAGATTAGGAGAGGGTTCTTCACTGTGAGGGTGGTGGAGCACTGGAAGAGGTTGCCCAGGGAGGTGGTTGAGGCCCCATCCCTGGAGATATTCAAGGAGAGGCTCGACGAGGCCCTGGGCAACCTGGTCTAGTTGGGGGTGTCCCTGCTGACTGCGGGGAGGTCAGACTAGATGATCTTTGGAGGTCCCTTCCGGCCTGGGCAATTCTATGATTGTATGAAGAGGCTGGGCTGGTACAACCAGAAGCGCCACCAATAAAACTCCATGTTTTTGTTTTAAGCAGAAATCAAACTCCACGTTTTTTGTTTCAAACAGCAAGCGAACATCTGGCTCAGCCCTGCAAACGCCTAAGAAATTCTTTGGTGCTATCGAAGGCATGAGTTCAAAGACACACACACACACACAAAAAAAACCCTCTCTAGCTTCATTAATTATAAAGCTGCCAGGGCCAGGTGATTATTGCAAGGGATGTTTGACACTGCAAAGGCAGAGAAGAACTCCCGAGAAACCCTGCAGCCCCAGATAAAAGCACCTCACAACCCTGTACTTGCTGTGACATCTCCCTCCAGGATAAACAAGCTTTTTCCTCCTCCCCCCTCATAAAAAATGCACATTCTTCAGCGCAGCCAAGAGTCTAACACCAGGAGAACATCTCTGGAACAGACTTCTCGGTTATCTCGGGACCCCCAGCTCTCCTGTTTCAGTCAGAGCTCTCCCTTGGTGAGCCTTGGGACTGAGGAGTTCTTAACAAATCCCTGCACCACCGAGAGGCACAATTACTTAGTTCTATGAATTCACATCATCCAGTTTCACACATCTCTTGTTTCTCAGCGAAGGCAAATTAAATTTGCGCAGAATGAGTTTTTATCTCTGGAAAGATGCATCTCTGCCCTTCCAGCTACCCAGGAGCCTCACCCAGGGAACGGTGGCAATCAAACGCTCTGCTGTTTCCATGTTGGCTGTCAGAAAGGCACACGCTTAAAAAATGAGCAGTGGAAAGAGAGCAGAATCAGAGAATGGTTAGAGTTGGAAGGGAACTTAAAGATCACCCAAGTTCCAACCCCCCTGCCCTGGGCAGGGACACCTCCCACCAGACCAGGTTGCTCCAAGCCCCCTCCAACCTGCCCTTGAACCCCTCCAGGGATGGGGCAGCCACAGCTTCTCTGGGCAACCTGGGCTCTCACCACCCTCTCAGCAAAGAACTTCTTCCCAATATCTCATCTAAATCTCCCCTCTTTCAATTTAAACCCATTACCCCTCATCCTATCACCACGCTCCCTGATCCAGAGTCTCTCCCCACCTCTCCTGTAGCCCCCTTGAGGAACTGGAAGGGGCTCTAAGGTCTCCCTGGAGTCTCCTCCAGACTGAACAACCCCAACTCTCAGCCTGTCCTCACAGCAGAGGTGCTCCAGCCCTCTGATCATCTTTGTGGCCCTCCTCTGGACCCATTCCAACAGGTCCATGTCCTTTCTATGTTGAGGACTCCAAAGCTGGACACAGAGCTCCAGGTGGGGTCTCACCAAAGCAGAGCAGAGGGGCAGAATCCACTCCTTCACCCCGCTGGCCATGATTCTTTTGGTGCAGCCCAGGATGGGGTTGGCTTTCTGGGCTGCCAGCACACACTGCCGGCTCACGTGGAGCTTCTCATCCATGAGCACTCCCAAAAGTCCAGCTCATCGTCTTGCCTCGTTGAGCCTCTGTCCTCCTCCTCCTCTCCTGTTGTCCATACACAGCAGCTCCAGGATGGGCAGAGCCCGCAGCACCGTGTGTGTGTGGGAGAAGACGGGGAAGGCACCAGCACAGAGAAGTCATTCAGCAGTTCCCTTGTTGCAAATTTTACTCGTTACATCAAATTTTTACAGCCCTACTCCTCAAACGAAGCTGCTCATTACGTGTATTAGGAATTGATAAATACTGTAGGATTATAGCTGCTAATTAAACAAATAGATCATCTTCAGTTTCCCTTCACCTCTGCCAACACAAAGATTAACGGCCAAATATCTCTAAAGGGGTATGGAAGCAAACATCACTAATGAGCTGAAAACACCTTCTAAACTTCTGAAAACACTTAGTGCATGGTGTAACTTAACAAATCTTCAGGAAATATATCCTGGTTTGTAAGGTATCGTTCAGAAAACCACTATTGCCATCACCACTGAAGGACACGAGGGATCCCCAAGAGTTGTGTCACACCACACCGTGGATCTGCAGGTTCATGCAGGAAGGAGGAAACAACACTTTTGTTCTAGTTGGCCCTTCAGGTTTTGTCAAAATGCCCCGTGACCAACAAGCCCTTACTTGAGATCTGGATAGTTGAGGTGGGAGTTCCAAAAATGGCTTACCTGTGGGCAGCTCTGGCCAGGAACCGAGGCCAACGCTGACTCTGCAAAACACGGGAGCGGGGTTCATCCCCAGCTGCGGGCAGTCCAACTCCTCACTGCATGGATTTGAAGGTTTCACCCTCCTTCAAAGAACTCCAGAAGAAAGCCAAAAATAAAAGGACTTGTTGATTCAAATGCTTTCCAGCTCTGGAATGCAGAGTTGCCTGACCAAGCGCAGCCCCATTTTAGGACATGACAAAGAGGATGCACCCTGCAGACAAGCATCGCCTTCGCTCAACTCTCAACTCATCTGCCTAATTTGATGTCTGGCTTTTGCATGCCTGTCTTGCTTTTTAATTCCCGTTTCTCCACAGCCTTAAGCTGTTCAAGGAGAAAGTGAAGCTGAGGGAAAGGAAGAGGAAGCTTACAGACATGGACAAGGGATGTCTCCATCCCTAGGTTTGCCCGTACAAAGGCTGGGAAGGCTCAGCCACAGGAAGAACTGCAGAATGCCCTGGAAGAAAGGCAAGTCCATAGGAAACAGGTTCTGCTCATTCATCAACAACTTGCTTTCTTTGAGGAAGGACTCAGTGTATTCCTCACAACAGTCACAGATGTATTTTAATGCAGCAACTCAACTGTGTCCATACAGGTTCTGCTCACTCATCAACAACTTGCTTTCGTTGAGGAAAGACTCAATGTATTCCTCACAACAGTATTTTAATGCAGCAACTCAACTGTGTCCAAGACTGCCTAGATTCAAAAGGGGCTGATACCAGCTTACCCACCAGCCTCTGCCACACAGATGACTCTCACTTGTCCATGGGTTCTCCTCCCATTCAATTTCATTCCCATTTCCACCTCCTCTCCTTCCTTTTGCAAGAACTGTGACCATCACCAGGATTCAGCCATTCACTCCTCAGCCATTCTGCAGCACCAGCAACGTGCAAGGCAAGATAAAGACACCAGACAACATATGAACATTAAAGGGCAGAAGTTGCAAGAACCAGGAAACACTAAGAAATTCCACCAAGGGGAAATTAATGGGAGAAAATACAGATAGCCTCGAGGAAAGAGGAATTAGATTCCTTGTTCCTTGAAGAACATAGCTGCTCTGGGAGGGAAAGGATGGAAAAGGTGCTGATCAAAGTTCCTGATGAGAAGGCAAGACAAGCCACAAGAGATTTGCTCTATACATTTGTATGAACAAGAAAAGAGGTGTTTTTTCCATTCTGTTTTATTTCAATGCTTTTACATGTAAAAAACCACACTTAAAACACTAGGTTAAAATTAGCAAACGGCTTGCTTCTAAAAAACA